CTCTATCTCTCATTCTCTCTCTCTCTCAAATAAATAAATAAAACCTTTAAAAAAAAAAAAAGGTTAAACATAGGGTTACCATGTGATGCAGCAATGCCCAACTAAAATACATATCCCAGGGGCGTCTGGTGGCTCAGTGGGTTAAGTGGCTGCCTTCCGCTCAGGTCATGAACTCAGGGTCCTGGGATCGAGCCCCACATAGGGCTCCCTGCTCCTCAGGGAGAGTGCTTCTCCTTCTCCCTCTGCCCCTCCCCCCTCACACGCCTGTACACCTGTACTCACTGTCTCAAATAAATAAAATCTTTAAAAAAGTAGAATAAATACATATCTAAGAAGACTGAAAACACATGTCCACACAAAAAACTTGTTCATAAACTTTCATAGCAGCATTATTCATAATGGCCTCAGAGTGGAAACATCCCAAATGTCTATCAATTGATGAATGGATAAAGAAAATGTGGTATATCCATGTACAGTTGACCCTTGAGCAATGTGGAATTTGGGGAATTGACCTTCACACGGTCGAAAATCCACGTGTAACTTCTCATGCCTGGAAAATTTAGGTATTAATAACTTACCGCTGACCTTGACATTAACAGTCAATTAACCCATATTTTGTATATTATATGTATTAAACTAGAGAAAAGAAAATCATAAGGAAGAGAAAATACATTTACAACAATGTACTATATTTATTGAAAAAATTTGTATATAGCTGGACCCACACAGTTTAAACCCATGTTGTTCAAGGATCAACTCTAATTCAATATTATCTGGCAATAAAAAGGAATGAAGTATTGATATGTGCTATAACATGGATGACCCCTGAGGTGATTAACACACTACTTTGAATATACTGTACATCAGTGAATTGTACACTTTAAAAGGGTGAACCTTAGGGTTTGTGAATTGTATCTCAATAAAGCTGTTATAAAAATAATACACAGGGATGCCCGGGTGGCTCAGTCAGTTAAGCATCTGCCTTCAGCTCAGGTCATGATCTCAGGGTCCTTGGAACGAGTCCCACATCGGGCTCACTGCTCAGTGGGGAGTCTGCTTCTCCCTCTCCCTCTGCCCCAATTCATGCTCTCACTCGCCCTCTCTCCCTCAAATAAATAAATAAAATCTTTAAAAAAAAACACACAAAAAAAAACAGAAGAAATCTGGAAGGATGCATACTGAATATTAGTTATCTTTAAAAAAAAGATTTTATTTATTTATTTGAGGGAGAAAGACAGCACAAGCAGAGGGAGTGGCAGGCAGGAGGGGCAGAGGGAGAAGCACTTTCTGCTGGGCAGGGAGCCCGACTCTGGGCTGGATCCAGTATCCCGGGATCATGACCTGAGCCGAAGGCAGACGCTTAACCAACTGAGCCACCCAGGCGCCCCTAAATATTAGAAGGTTATCTTTCTATGGCCACGTTACAGGTAATTTTTTTCTTGTTAGCGCTTTGCTGCATTTTCCAGGTAGTCTACGATGGACTTGCATTACTTTGGTAATCATAAAATTGGTGACAGGAGGCAAAGGTGAAATTTGCCTGCTCCAGCTTTCATTGCCGGAAGAGAAGTGCCTGCAAACCCATCTCCTAGCTGACCTGAGTACCACTAGGCCAGAACAGGACAGGG